TGGAAATGTTCCGTGATAGGACATATCGTAATCTGACTATTCTGTATTAGTCATTATATGTCTATGTTCGTAAATACTGTTGTCTGCATTAAGGGAGCAGTAGCTAAAATTAATATCTAATTCAGTAAATGATTCTAATGTTAATTGTATTAACTATAACTCATGAACTATTGAGGAATAGTATATAAATGCAGTATATCGTGAAATAAAGAAGAATTGTCCAACTTAGTGTTTAACGTAAAATACGAGGCGTCTAAGTCTTTGTGTAGTCTGCTAGTAGAGCAAAAGTGTTTGTGATAGTGCAGATATCGTTCCTTGATACGTGGTTCGAGGAATTGACTTATTGATCGTATATTGCGTTATCTTGTTGCAAAGCTGTTTTGTGACACCCGGTAACTTAATTCAACGTTATCGATCCACGTGTAGCTCTCTCTTTTTACTTTTCTTTTCACCTCTCTTTTATACCGTACATTTCAACCCAACACTATGTCACTATCACAAAACTTGTGACATAGTATAATTTAGCCTAAGACATGATTAGAGATAAGCAGGCTAACAACTAGGATTCGTAACAGTTATCATGATATCTAACCTATAATTTAAAATTGATTGTACCTTCAGTATCATCATAAAGGTTGCATTTTGCAGCAAGCCGTAAAACATGTTACCAATAGAAAATTTTCATGCATATTTGTAATACGGTAGTGTTGATGTTGACATTTCATAAAGAAATCAAGACGAAAAACTTTTTGAATTATTCATATACAATAACTCGAAGGAGTTATTCTTGTCTTTAAAAAAAAATCAATTATGTACAAATATTAATAGTAATCTTGGCTAAACAATTTTAAATTTTAGTCGAAGTAAACAAAACTTCCTCCTTACAAATAAAGAAAATAATTTCTTAACTCATAGTTTTCATTAGAATTCTTCATTGTGAAGCAGTACCGTTGCATCTGCTTTATGTATGGTTACTTAGTTGTTTACTATTATAGAAATAGGCTAGGGCACTGCTACATATTGTAATCATCGTAAGGGGTGCTTATCCCACCGTTCAATAATCAGATGTAACATAAGCATGGTGCAATCAACTACTTATTTGAATTGTATGAACTATTTCTAGATTTGATAATGAAATATTTTATTTTATTAGAAGCCTCAAAAGAATGTTCAAAATAATCATATCAATATGTATGGATTGCAACATTGAAAGTGCTTGAGCTATTTATCATTTGCCGCTAGGCTTAGCTGTTTTTAAAAAATTTCTATTTTGAACAAGGAGATTAAATTTCTGTTTGGGGCTATGTTTATGATCTTGCTAGTTTATTGACAAGTGTCCATGGAGGAATATAATTACAGGATTTAGTATTAAAAAATGTAATTCAATATCATAATGTGTACATAATTATTAAATATGGAGAAGTTTAAAGCTGAATATAAGCTGAATTAATTATTCTTTAGGATATAATTAATGTTTTTGCATAAACAATTTATGCCTTATAATTATTAATTTACAAATATTCAGTATCCTTTATTTGTTAGAACAAACATGGATACTATTCCCTCTAATCGAGATAGCATGTTTAATGGAGGTTTTTAAGGATTACTCATTTATCATGTTGCGTAATATCAGTAATGGGATACCTTATTTACTCTTAGAATATCAAATGACGTTTTAATTAGTGGCAATTTATTGATTTTTACGTCATGTTTAGTTTTTAATGGTCAGATGTTATTTTATTATCGAATAGAATTTAATCAATAATTGTGTATATTGGCGCTGAAATAGGAGATATATTGCCATTTGCACAGATACCTAATGTGGTGATTTCAATTAATTACAGTAGCAATGTGTTTGGAAAGAATAATAGTAATATAAAGTAAAGCACTATAGTCTATGGGAAGTATAGTAGAGTTATTAGTTGTGATTAATAAGATAATTACACGTGATAACTGGATAGATGAAGCTTTGTTTTATTCGTACTTCTTATATAAAAGATCGTAGCAGATAGATGCATGAAGTTCTACTTTGGAGTCATATACCATATTATTGATAGAATTCTCAACTCCTGACTATGAACTGAACAAGTTACTCCTTTGATGTGGAAATTTGCTCAGGTTCGGGTTAATGGTCTACGGTCAATATACATTAAGTTTGCCAATTACGTCTGAGTGGGCTGTAAGCTTTAACTATATCCCTTTACAACGGGTATTACGATGCTATTTATAACTTAAATATTTAATACTGAGTACCGTATGTGTAAGCACACTAATACAGGCTGTGCACGAATTTATTAGATTGATTTTCTAGGATTATTTCTATAATCGTTATAGCACTTCACATGACTGAATAGTTTGATAGCGATGTAGAGCACGGCATTCTGGCAGTGACTAGTTTAGTTTTGGAGAACTTAGGAAATACAAATTGGGACATGTAGTGCAGTGTACGCTTGCAAATCAACAGTGCAGTTGGATTTAAAATTACTCTAAACTACACTATCTTTGTCAGATTGTACATAGTTGTCATAGATTACGTTCCTGACAAAGGGTAAAGTAAAGTGTTCTGCTCTTCTAACTTGCTACTGTCAACTACTATTGTAAATTCGGGCTAGCACTACTCTCCTAGACCGCAGTTACATAGACAAACTTCAGAACGTCAAGCTACTTTAAATTTATTCCAACTAATATGACCAAATCTATTTACTCGTAAAAACTACAAAATTGGCTACTAACGAGCAATATTCACAATTACAAGTCAATAGCGATGAAAGTTTAGTCAACCTAACCTATAAAGGCAAAAAATCGACTACGATGCAAGTACTTAATCTATACCTACCACTCACAATACATGGTATATTTGTATCGTGACAATAATGGTGATAATTAATTATAATGTATACTATTTCTAATTCCCGTCTCTTCGCTGACAGAGTTTAATGAATGATTTATAAACTGGTTAACAGCACTAAATTTACGTTGTACAATGGTGGACTTTTTACATTGATTCATAGTTGTGGACAGTGCTATGCACATTGATAAATGAATCCTCTGTTCTACTACCTAATATATAATTATTATGGTATACTGTACGTTATAATTAGAGCGGAGCGCGTATAAAAGCCGTCGTTTTTCAATCAATAAAGATCGGACATTCCCAATCCGTACTTTGATATGCACTATTTTAAAGCAATTGTATCACATCACAAATGTGTCTGAATTGGTAGTTGTGAATAAGGGAACAGACGTTGAAAGATCTAGACTAAGTAACTATTTTTCGCCATGTTTTGCCTATTTGTAGCAAGAACAGTCCATCTATCCGAGTCTGTATGGAATCCAGTTCATACTGTATTATACGGTTTACTAGTTGAGACATCGTAGAGGGGTGAACACTACCGTCCCTACATTCCCACTCTTACTTCATAGTTTACAGGGATTAGAAAGTAAGTGTGGAAGATTTGAGAAATGGAGGAAATAGGAGTTGAGATATCGCATGGTAATGAACACCAGCGGTGCTAGTACAATGTTTTGGGGTGCTTCAAAGAACGAATTTTACCCTACTCCGCCGTCTCCACATTCCCACTCTTACATAGTCTACAGGGACTAGAAAGTAAGAGTGGAAGATTTGAGAAATGGAGGAAATAGAGTTGAGACATCCTATGGTAATGAACACCAGTGGTGCTAGTACAATGTTTTGGGGTGCTTCAAAGAACAAATTTTACCCTACTCCGCCATCACTACATTCCTACTCTTACTTCAAAGTCAACAGGGATTAGGAAGTAAGAGTGGAAGATTTGGGAAATGGAAGAAAGTAGGGGTATGCTGTACACAGTGTACAGTGTACAGTATTTATTCTTGAGTAGTTGGTCAACGGTACTGTACTGTACGGCTCTGTATTGTAGTGGGCGTGGGTTCGGTCGTCTCTACTTTTCGCTGTTTAGTACGGTACTGATATCAGTAGCAATGTGCATACTGTAGAGCTAAAGGATTGTCTACAGAAGGTACTAACGTGCAAGTTTTTGTGGATGAAGAAATCGAATCGAATAAAATACTGTCTGTACCCATTCTACCCGTACAGCTAGCAGAAAGATTGTCAACATAAACTAGTGGCCAGTGATGGTCATTAATTGTCAAACGTGGACTTCTATCGCTAATCGAGACTGAACAACTCCAGTCAACTTTACAACTACTACCATTGACCTTGTGGCACTTTCTGCACCTTGATATTGATGAGCGCTGGTGAATGATGATGTTAGCAAAGTCGCATTTCGCACGTCAACAAATCAACAAAATTTTCCACTCATGTACTCGTATAGCAACAGCTGGCCATCGAAAATTAATCTCCAACTCGGTTTGTTGCAGTGCAAGTTAAGCAAAACTTTGTTAATTGCTCAAAACTTTAATTACATATGGAGAGTATGCAGCTGATTGGCTTATAGAGAGTGTAGGAAATGGGATAGTTTTTGCAAAGCAGTTTCATCCCCTTTTTTGGATTACATGTAGAATTTTAGTGGGCAGTGTTGCCAATAATAAATCAAGGTCCCATGTTATTTACATTGAGTTACAGTACACCCCTAAATGAATTAGTTGTGGTGAAAAGTGTACGGTACGCTGTAATAAAATGTTAAATTCACTCAATTACAGTACATTGATCCAACCAGAATCATGCCAATATTATTGTAGATTCATTGTCAATGTGGATGGTTGCTATAACTTACTGCAATTTTTTTTTTTATTTAAGATGAGCTCAGTTGGTGCTGACAGGCTTGAAGGATTGTATGGAAATGTTTGGTGAGTTTCGTCATATTTCAAGGCATCTAAGTTGATATTAAACTTTTATTACCATCAGTATCGTATTTATTTGATTGATTTTATTCAATGATATAAATTCCATCGTAGCGAATTCGATGCTTAGTAACTTGATTAGAAACTGAAAATTGGATATTGATAATGTAATTGAAAATGTGTTTCGTCAGAGATTGATTAATTATAATGCAACTGTATCTAATGATAGGGTAGAATTTTCAGGATTAGCTAGAGAATACAATCCAGTTAATTTGGGGCAGGTTTGTGCAACTTGTAACATTTCTGCTTATGTATGTTCTACTCCAATAGCAATTAAAATCTGTAAACTTATCGGTGTTTACGTAGTACGTTTCCTCACCCTATTGATCATAAATGATATTGCTGTTAGTACTGTACGTACATCGTACAGTACGTATTGATGCGACAATGTACTTGTATCTTTATAAACTATATTTTAGACACCGCCAACTTATAAATAATTCTTAGTGCACTTACCTGAAACTGCCGTTAATCTACTAAGAACTTTTTATACAGTAGCACAGCACGGAGTTACGGTACAACCCAATGATGGAACCCATAGTCATGTCGTCAGTCCTACAGTAATTATAAAACTGTTGAATATTTATTGGCTATTCGTTATCATAATACTAAATGACTCATAACTAAAATCTCTGATATCTGCTAGCATGGGTAAATCTTGTTCTAAATTAATTTGCAAGGGTTTCCCGGATCTTCCTGTTCCTAACTTTCTAAAAGAAGCGATGATAACAGCGGTTACAAGTAATGACGTCTTGCATCAATATACAAGAGGACCAGTTAAGTGGATGCTCTTTCAACAGGCTGTTATCAGTAAACAGCTCTAATATTAAGTGCTTGCTTCAACGATTACATGTATTCTATTACTTCAACCTCTTCCACATTGGCTTTGTACTTACATTTAGGGTCATCCTAGGCTTATTAACGCTCTTACAGAATTGTACGAGCCTTTGCATCGCCGTAAAATTAACTCCGATACCGATGTAACTTGAATCTTACACTGAAATTATGACTGTGATGTTTCAGCAACTTATTGTTTAAATCAAACTTGTCAAGATTTTAGTAACAGTTGGTGGCTATGGATCTTTATATTGTAGCATTATGGGTCTTATTAACCCAGGAGACGAGGTATGACAAACTTGTAAGGCAATCATCTTCTCTTACGAGGGTTGTCATTTTAACAGGACTCAAGATATTGCTGGTCCTTAGAAAAGATTAAAGTTTGTAACAAGCATTCATTTGTTTCTAGGTAATTGTTATCGAACCTTTCTTCGATTGTTATGTCCCTTTTATTAAAATTGCTGGCGGAAAACCTATTTGCATTCCATTAAGAACAGTAAGTCTGAGCTTGGATGATGAACTGAACATTGAGATTTACGTAATTAATCAATGGTTTAACTTACTCGTAAATCAATTTCTGGTTCATGCAGAGAAAAAATGCTACAACTTCGGCTGATTTTTATTTGGATGAACAAGAATTAAGGAGTGCATTCAGTGATAAAACCAAATGTATCATCATCAATACTCCTCATAATCCTACTGGAAAGGTACTTGTGATAACTATTGCATATAGCCAACCATACGAATAATATTAACAGGCTGTGATCTTCCATAAATTTCTTGATTTCATATTTTGGTAGGTTTTTTCATTGCAAGAGCTAGAAGTAATTGCTGAACTTTGTATTAAAAACAACACCATATGCATTAGTGATGAAGTTTATGAGTGGCTAGTTTATCCTGGAATAAGTCATATTCGAATAGGTATATATATAATAGCTAGTTCTCTTAGTTTATAGAGCTAAGCGACCGGTTTTTATGCCAAAAATTAAAATTTTTTTTAGCGACGTTACCTGAAATGAATGATCGAACTGTTACTATTGGTAGTGCTGGGAAAGCTTTTAGTGTAACTGGTTGGAAGGTAATAAAAACTAGCTGTTAATATAAATCTATGAAATGACCGTGTATGAGTTAAAGGTGTACGATATTTTTATAACGGTAGACTGGCTGGTCTATTGGCCCACCACATTTAATGAAGCATCTCCATGCAGCCCATACGAATAGCATTTATACTTGCCAAACAGTGACGCAGGTATTGTTGCATGCATTAGTTATATGTACGGGAGCAATTAAGAAATTCACTTATTACATATAATTAAAATAGGAAATATGATACCGCCAAGCCCGGGGTATCAAATCAATTAATGTCATGATCAAGTTAGTATTTTATTCAGCCTTGTGAGACTGAATGCATTTTTCTCTGTGCTCGGAAATCAATACCTTTTAGGAGGCTGTTGCTATTGCTTTAGAAAATGAAATCAAAAATCGAGATAGTGAAGACTCTTACCTAAATAATCTTCCTAAGATACTAGAAAGTAAACGAAATCAAATGGTTCGCTTTTTAAGTGAAGCTGACATTACACCTATAGTTCCGGAAGGTGGATATTTTATGATGGCTGACGTATCGAAGCTCGGTATTTTTGTCTATAATACTTTTAGTCGGACTTTAACTAATTAAGTGAAGCTAATAAGATCCTCGATTGTTTTGCTTAGGCATTGAATTTGACGATGACGATGATAAATCATTATACGATTATAAATTTTCTCGTTGGCTTATCAAGAAAAAGGTACTTAGTAGTCTTGATCGTTTCTGGAAGACGAAATTGAATCTGTAACTAATAATGTGATGTACGGCGTCTTATAATCAATAGGGTATTGCTTGTATTCCACCGAGTGCATTTTATTCAGAAGAAAATAAAGCCCTTTCTGGAAGACTTATCCGTTTCTGTTTTATTAAGGTAAATTTTTCTTACATTACTCTATACTAATGTCTGTCCTAACTGTATATGTACACACGTACAGTATCTACTAAAGCAGTTAATTCCCTATACTTGCTCAGTTTAGCAATCAGTGTTGTACGAATATCTTACGCTTATTTATTTCTGTTTATTTTGCACATGTATAATGAAAAAGACCGATGAAACTATGAATAAGGCAGAAGAGAAATTTGACTTACTTGCCAAATCTTTAAAACATGAACACTTATAACGTAGAACTGTATACAGTTTTGTAACATTTCAATACAGTTTGCGCCATTTTTATGTTGATTTTTACCGATGGATGGTTTGAGAAGTCTCAAAATCCTTAAGATTTATTAGTCTAGTATCATTAATTATTTAGCTAAAACCATTGAAACCGTTTTGTAATCTTACGCAGTATAGTATTCACAGATCAAAGTCATAATGCAATCGTATGATCGTCTTAATTTCTAAAAGGTATTCATTCGTGAAATGATGACCTGCTTAATTATATTATTAAAGCCTTGCTATAAATGGCATCAACACAAGTGAATATCGATTACCTTAGTTTGGCATTTTCTTGCTCTCTATCGTATTGAAGGCGAGAAAGGTTAGACACTACTATAGTCTTGAAACTTGAAGTAGTATATATTATTATTCTAATAAATTAGTCGAACGCTCTGCTGATGGTAGTTCACGTACTTGTTTACTGAGTAAAATATTATTCAGAATATGACTGTCAAAGGGAGTAATTATACATAAGTAACCACTTTTTTCGGAAGGACAGCGTTTTATGCCTTGCAGCTCTACTATATGCAAGAAACTCCTATAGTATTTTAAGATTAGTACTGTATCGTCTTTAAACGCCAAGAGGCATGGATAAGGGCTATCTTCTATAATTTCACTTGCATTTGTAAAGTATGCAAACCTCAATATTTTCGTCGCTTACGTTAATGCAATCAATTCATATATGGTTCGATATATTTACTAAGCAAGTTTTAAGGGTACAAAATATAATGATTGCAGTATGAAGGAGTCATGATGGCACTACCTCTTTAAGTAAAGTAAGGTCATAACATTTTTTTCTACGTTAAAGATAAAATTCTTTTAGATAAGAATGCTAGATATGTGGTAAAGTTATTGCATCTGCCAGTATTAATGAGCTATTTCATTAATCTAATACAAAACAGCCATCGTAAACAAAATTAGACAAAAGAAACCTTTAGTCCGGATGCTACTATTGCACAATTGAAAGCAAAGAAACACTAGAGACCCTGGACTAAAGAACTTTTTAGTACAGGGTCTCTAGGTAACACCATCCGTTCTTTTAAAAACTAGCTGATTTTGGAATCAGTAGGTTGAAGACGATAATTACAATATTGTTTGGAGAAAAATTCATAATCAAACAAATGCGACACTCACGCCGGAATAAATATCTATTATCATTGCTATCATTTGTTATTATTTTAAAGTACCGTCGTTATACGGTATTTTTAGTAGCATCTACCTGAAATTGAATCTTTATAATTTTCTAAAAGATAAATACATACGAGGTCGTACATATCAATCTACTATGTTACAATACAGCATTGCGATAATATAATCAAGCCTTCGTGACTTATGGCTATTAAGCAGTGGCCTCCATTTACAAGAAAAAGGAAGTTGTATTTTTCTATGCGATACACAATTGCAAATATGATCGCTAAAATAAGGAATCATTCGTGCGTATAATCATTTGATCACATGTTATACTGTATAGGTGAGTTGCCTACAGCAATTTTATAATTACGCCTAATATTCAAAAGATACGATACTAAGATAATGAGGAATAAATAAAGCTACATTAATATACTTTCATCTTTTTGTTACTAACCTTTGCTATTGGATGTCAGTAGTGCCACTAGGCAACCCGCGTCTATTTAAACAACGAGATTACATAGCAAAACCGCAATAATGCTCGTAACTAAAACTGAAATTTAGCGTCAGTGATATTTACTCTATAAAGCAAGCTCAACTTTCTGCTGTAGATTGGTGTTCAGTGGTTTCTATAACTGTATTCTCAAAATAAAGTTACGAAAATTATATAAGTAAAATTGCGATAATACTAGCATTTCTAATAGAGTAGTAACGACAAGATATCATCACAATGATTACCATGTCAGACAATTAGCAAGCTGGTTTAGAAAAGTAACGTAGGCTACTTAACTATGCTATTATCATTTATTATGCTAACTTATTGTTCTATCATTATGGTTAATTAATTGAGAGTAAAATAAAATGGAAGCAGCGTTCGCTATTTATATGAATAACCCGATATCGTTTTGGTACAAGTTGAGTACGGTAAACTTATTATCCTTTAGCATTGTAGCGGTCCAAAAATAGATAACGATCATTAATTATCACCTTAGCTCTACTTTCATGAGACATCTAGCGTAAATCAAAAGCTTTGATTGCAAGAAAACACACTATGAGAATGTGTTTAACGCCAATAATTATATATATGTTATACATATTATTGAAATTTTTAAAACATCTGCTATTAGCTCCATAAACATCATGCTACATTTTGATAGCGTAACAAATCCAATTAATTATAATTACCATCACGTCATGCTTGCTATGGATACAACCTCGATATCGTGGATTTTAAAATCAATTTAACAAGGATGCTAGTTGTTGATGTTATCAGGTTTAATAGACTAAATGATATTAGATCACGATACTAAATATAGTTTAAACACAGACAGTAGTATTGTTATGGCTACATTCATGCTAGTTCTATCTGAACTCCTCAAAAATCTATAACTAAAGATGCATAATCTCAAAGTAAAGTTTATTATACAATTCAAACGATATTATGCTGGCATATAGTAATAGAATCAAGTTATAATTACAACTACTGAAAATTTAAACAACTCGAACGATATTATACCGGCATATAGCAATAGAATCAAGTTATAATTACAATTACTGAAAATATTTTTATGTAATTTTTAGTATTGTTCTTGACAGACGTTAATGATTAGGAGAGGAATAAGGTTAATTATACATATTTCATTCTATAGGTATCAGTAGTAAGCAATCTCTTTATCTTCAATGAGTAAACATAGCAAGTTAATCATTTACCAGCGTGCATATTTTAGATGGTGGAAAGGATAAGAGTATTTTATGATAATGACATTAAGTGCCTCATAAGAAGTAGTAAGTAGATGAGGAAAGACAGTAAATTAATCTGTCGCAACTGCGCGAGTATAATGATACAAGAATAGATGGGAGAAGGCCTTAGAAAATCGGTTACTTTACGGAATAATCCATATTAAGTAAACAATCTCCATATGTACGATGTATTCTTAAACAACTTAAATGCTCGCATCTACACATGATACGAAGATATGATAGTGAATATAAAGACATAAATAGCAAATAAGCATTAGTAGACATGTACATAGAAATATTATACAAATATATTTTAGTATTCGATGTACTAATTAATGCGAAACATTGGATGCTAAGAAAGAGATGCAATTTAAGTATGCAAAGTAATAAAAATCGAAATATAGTAGAGAAATTTTACAGAATGGCTATCTCGTAGCGTTAATCAGTCTAGTCATTTAATGTGATAAGAAAAATGAATAGTATAGAATGGTTCAATCTCCATAAAGAGAATAGAAGACACTAATGGTACTACCGGATTGCCGGATGCTATTGATGTCAATGTAGATATTTTTAAGTAATAAATAACACTGAGAATAATGTTAGTTAAAATTAAATGATATCTTTCGCAAGATAATGATAGCTACAGGATAAGAATAAAGTCTAAGTATTTTACTATTCAAGAAAAGTACGGCTGTAACAAAATAAAGCAAAAATGTAACAACTTACACTTACATTAAAGTAGTAGACTTTCCCTTAAGTCATATTAGATACAATCATTGTATTATCTATTTAATTAGATCGATTTTTCGATGAGAAAAGAGCCCGAAAAAAATGATCTTATCTTGCGTATGTCTTGAAAGGTCAAGATCAATGATTGTTATTATTACAGATAAGTTATAGGATACATTTTTGAAAATTTAGTCTTCAGTTATGTTGAGGCTAGTAGAGAATAGCCTTTAGTCGTTGTTTAATATTTCATATCAATTTTACCAGCCATCATCGAACTAACTACTGACATAGAGCGTTCTGTAATGGTAACCTCTGATTCGACACGGGCGCGTCTATGTGGTGTTGAACAGTATAAGGCGCGTTTTAATGCAGCTTTAAAGTGAGGATTGAATATATACAAGATTCCAACATTAAATATAGACGAGCAATAAATTAGCCCAGAGAGCAAATCTCTTATTAGAAGAAAGATTCGAACATTTTGATAGTACAAAACTACGTCCCCTTGAAATTGGAGAAGAGATATATGACCAAATGTTTGCAATAAAATCAATATATAGTAAGGCAGCCATGTTACAAAGAAAATAATCACCAGAGCTATTGACATCAGGGTAAGTTGTCGCTTGACACCGGCTATTTTATCATCTTTAGGGTCGATAAATATTTTGGGTTTGCCGGTGCTCATAGCGGTAGCGATGGAAATATTAAGAGCTGCTTGGAGGAGGAACGGTATTGCGAAGATAACTATGGTAAGTCCAATCAAGTAGCCTTTCCGTTGATCTAGGTTTAGAGCAGGAGGGACCGTATTAAAACTACAGAATGGGCTTCCACGTAATTGAATAACATGTAAGGAAAGAAAATAGGGTATGCCACAAGCAACACCTACGATCCAAACTGCCGCTATTACGAAATAAGCGTAATGGCGTTCCGGTGGTGGACGGAAAGGTTGACATATAATCCGAAATCTAGCATATGATACAGCTACTAAGGTATAAGCAATTACGACCGATACCATAAAAAACATTGACTTAATAAATCGGCAAGCAAAATCTCCAAATTGCCATGTTTGAAAGCCGGCATTAATGTCACTGAGAGCATTTACTAGGCCAGTGATGGCTAATAACAGTGATGACCAGCACAAATTTAATACCAATACGTTGGTAAAATTCAGTAATCGCTTGATTTTGATTATGGTGAAGGTAATGATGAAAACACCAGTAGCAGACAATATCAAAGCAAGGGATATCAAGGCAATTTTAGCCGTGTTGATTTGTCTTATAGACTCGTTTATCAACTCGTTAGAGTTAATTGTAGGTGCAATAGTCGCATTTGAAGTATTGCTCATGTTGAATAGATAATAGTGGTGCTATTTTCTCTTCCTTGATTGAAATATTAGTCCCAAATGTTGGTGATTATGGAATAAAAATGCCACCAGCCTCTTCTACAACCAAAATCCCTTTTTCAAGATGTGAATGAAAATTATAATCTTTTATAACTTTCGACGATGTTTTTGACTACTATCCTTTTATTCAATTTGCACTTTTGCTACTTTGAACTTGAAAAATTTATAATTTAATTATAAATTAAGAATTGAACCCAGTAGATTTAATTTCTTCAGAAAGGTTTCAAAAGTAGAATAGTTACTTAATTTCGGCAATGCCAATTTGACGCGTTAGAGAATCTATAGACAACTTATTAAAATAAAAAAGAAATATAATCTGATTAGTGATTAACAGATAAAAATAAGTATTACTACGTATCACCAATAATCTTTATATGTCAAAGATAGTGTCAGAGTAATTATTATAATGTGGTATTGGCAAGCATCAAAATTTAACATGATCAAAAGTGATTTATCGAAAAAAAATTAAAAAATCGGAAAAACACGCTCTACCAATGTGAGAAGTTGGGACACAACCGTTTTGATTCTTATTTTGATAAATCAATAGACTATTATGACAGGATATCATAGTCATGACAGCGAAGAATTCTTAATTACTAAATCTTTACCTGACGTTTTTCTTCGTGTGAATATATTTATTTTGTGCCTGTATCTTTCAAATTTTCAGCTTTAATCTAGCTCTATCCCAAGAAAGATTAACCGAGGAATAATGTACCAAAACTTGATGTTGTATTCTCCGCGGTAACAAGATTTTAGCAAATGTGTGATACAATGTTGATAATTTAATGATGTATAAGACAATCAAGGGTAACTTTTTTACCACGCGGTTGATAAATAATTTACTTTTTCCACATTAGACGGCTGTTACGACGAATTTTAGTTTCTACAATAGTTTCAAAACAGGACGTTGTTATTAAAGTACGTAGAGACAAAAAAAGCTTTATATTTCGGAAGTACTTAATAAGTAACTCCAAGTATTGATACAGTACAGAGAGAAAGATTTATTTTTCTGTTTCTTTAAGTAAATTAAGTCTGTTTACCGTGAATTGAGGAATATCGAAAAAATTAACTACTAATATGGAGTAAAAAAAATAAGTTCATTACCTCCTAAAATTGGTTAGCGCATAAAATGGATTCAATGTTGAAGGTTATCGTTAGGATAATTTTTTTGATCCTACAAACACCCACTCGCTGACATATATTAATCTCTTGACTTTTTTAACACTGCTTTTTGTTTATTCATGTATTCTAATTGTATTTCAATCCGTTGTTGTTTGATATGGTAATCAATAAGAAAAAAATCAATATAACTATTTTAACAACGTCAGAATAGTTGATCGAAATGCTTTCGTCATTAACATGCGCACTGCTAACTCCCGTTACAAGTATATTGTCTATCGTAGAATAGCGTTGATTTGTCGACTTTATTATATATTGCAGACAATACTAGATTCAAAGTCGTAACATTTAAGTAAAAGGATTGAATACAGTTATTCAAAGCCTGCACTATTGCCACCTTGAGGCATCATAGCTTTTCCTATTGATCCACGGCAATAGAATGCATTACATCAAAAATAGTTAATATTGACAATGGAGAAGAGTTAAATGATAAAATAATTGTCGTCATAATACAGTATATTGTTTGATTGATAAAATGATGATAGCTTTGTCATCTATTATTATTGGCCCAAATTAATACCTCTAATTTTATTAAGTTATAGCTCGGGGCTGTTCTCATTCTTTGGCTTTATGTCTGGTTTTTTTTTATTATCTTCATAATCATTTTACTTATCGCTATCAATTCGCTTAACTTCAAAGCGATTGTAACAAAATTAATATAATTTTACACCGCACAATTACCGACTATTATATTTGAACATTCTTTATATCGATTTCAACCCGGTGTGTTCTGTAATAAATCGAACTAATATGAAAATAACACACTGTGATCTATTATAAAGGTTATTTTTATATGCATGGTTGAACAATTTTGTAAATATTCGTATCTACTACGATTGAATTCTTTTTCTTTCAATTTAATATCTACAAAATCGATACACATATTGTGTTGAAAGCTCTCCATATCACCAATGTGTTCGATTGAAGTAATCTAAACGTAGTTAATTTAATGTCAATGGGAGATATTCATTACAAAATAATAAACCTTTTGGTGGATAAGAAGAGAGGATACAACCAATAATCTACTCTACAGTACTATACAGTTGCGCCAAATCGTCTCTAGCCTTAATGCTATATCACGATGTGTAGTCACACTCATTTTCTCTCTCTTAATTTTTCTACTGTAGTATAGAATTACAGCAGCATAGTATATTTTCAAGTTATGGATCTCCATACAGAATATCTTATTCATTATTTTATGATAATTTATAGGCATGATGCAACCCAGGTTATCAATTTAGACATATAAATTAGCTATATAAAGATAATGTAATGACCATTACTCTCAGTGACTATTATTGGATAATATGCTATCATTAGATTATAATTATTAATAGGAGATCACACCAAGAATCATGATTTAAGACCATCATCACTAAAAACAATATCAATCATTAAAATGATATACCACAGTAAATAGTAAGAAACTTTAGTAACATGTTTTCTCTCAAAATTAATCTATCATTATCTTATTCATGTTTGTCAGTAGCTAGATAAACGACATCAAAGAATTATCTGGTACCAGGTCATACTTCTATTCAACGTTTCAGTTATTGACAGTAATATTAGTAGTCCATATAATAGCTGCTTTTCTCTTACATCAATTGATATTTGGACGGTATTGTTTACGTTGTTTTTCAATCTTGATTGCCACTTCATATTGTATGACGTTATAGATTTTCGTGGAATAGTATTATATGGGCAAAACACGTCTATAGATGTTTTTTCTGGTACCTTATCTTGTTGATTATAATCTATTACCTTCTATTGGTAATTATTGGCCTTCTCCCACCCACAGTTACAGCCGAGCGATAACAATTACAGCTAGCATGGCCACCAATAAGCCGCTACTACGCCTTCAATTTTGGATCAACCATCATTTCATCCGTTTATTGCTTGGATGCTACTTTGTGAATAAGTTAATACGAGCTTGTATTATTCCTCTCCCCAACCTTAATCATTTATTGTTTCTTAACCGAGTTCCTATATTGAATATTCGGAATTTATCCTTATTCCCATATAACTATAGAACAAAAATTTACGGATCGACAATACTACTTACTTCAATTGCAACCCTCAGCGCTATACTAGTTTGTTAAAGAGCTAGGTTAATCTTATTCTGGCTCCCTACTTTACTTAACATACTAACTGTTTAAATATGATAATAAACAACTTTTAATTGTTGTTTGTCGAACTATAGATCCATAAAAACTACTCTCGCCCATTTTTCAATTGAATTATTTCAGATACAATGCTGTTTGAGCCTACAATTGATGTCTAGCAACATACTAAATTCTCTATATAATAATAATCGTAGACAACAGTTGTTTTTCTCCTAAATAATATGAATAAAAGCATGGCAACTCTATAAAATATTGTTAATACAATGTAATAAAGTATGATGTGAGTAAATAACCCATGTGATTAAAAAACAATTGCAAACAATGATACGGAATAATATTATTATGTTTTTATAACTTTGATCATCTATTATCCAGTGTATGTCGTATCCAGCTGCTCTATGACATAAGCTACGACTGTATAGAACATACGGTGATTGATATATTCATTTACAGTGTAAAGAAAGCCACAAATCACATATTTGATCGTACTATCATACGCAATTGCTCTATCGCGGCTCCTAATACATCTACATCTAAACAGAAATATACTGCAATATAGACTATAATTTATACTCACTGTCTGGAGATATGATCTATGTTGAACCGTAAAGAATACTTTCTTGCTAAAATAAACTCTGTATGATAATTAATCAAATCGAAATTTCAGCGTGATATAGTTCATAAAGCGCGTAATTTACGAATGCATGAGAAAGTTATGACACTAAATAAAAAATTTTTTCAACATAACCGTCTTTACAACATTCCTCTAAATAGTTAGTTTGGCAGATTGGTCTTTAGTCAAGATTCGTCAACGAAAAAAAAATGACTTAGGAGCATAAATTAACAGCAAAAATTTTTTTGTCTACCATATACAAGTGTCAATACCTTCATAAGAGCATAACGAAATGGCCCAGCTGTTGTATGCTATTAATAATTTATTACCAAGTAATACTGTTTAGTGGGTTGATACAATTCCATTTGTCACGTGTTCAATTATTAATTATTATCCGATTGTCCAAATTTATTTTGCATACTTAAGTTAAATTATCCACTTTAACTACTGTTGTATCCCAACTATTAATGGATAGTGAAAGCTTACTTATCTTTAAAAATCGAGAAATATAGTATCTTTTCTTGGGCTACAAGAACACTGGGCAAACTATCATAACGTGATCGACTGCGTATCAAATTTTTTATTGTGCAGTGAACACATAAACTGATTCTTAACATTCTTATTTATTTTTATATTTTAAATATATCACATATAGTTATTGACGTATCTACTACGTGAGATAAACAGTGAAGCTGTAGTAGATTATGAGTTCGATTATATTAGCTTAATTTAAACACAGAATATTCAAGATAAGCTCGAATAGGATAAGATTTCAGTTAATAGTCCATACTTATTAATAACGAAGGTATTACTGTTGGGCAGTCAGATATTGGCTGTAGAGTGTAATAGCAGTAAATAGTACATCAAGAGCTATAGCATGGAACAAAACTGTCAGTAGTAAAATTTTTCGCATACAAGTTTAACATATAGGCTGAGTGAGCGGTTTGAACGATATTATTGATCGGATGATGAACCGTTCTTTCCTACGGATATCAATACCTCTACAAATTTTATATGTTGTAAATTTG